TAGTCCTTCTTCATCCTTGAGGACCTTTAAGTTACCCTACCCCAGAGAGAGGCCCCCAGACAGCAGGAGTCTCTGCCCAACCTGAGGACTTACCTCTGCTTGCTGGATCCTTGCCCCAAGAGTTCCTGACCACCCTGTGCCCTCAGCTTATATGGCAGGGTCTAATGAAGGGCCCACACGTGACTGCGCCCTGCAGCCAGGGCATGAGGGGCCCTCCCCAGAGGGGCGAGTTACAGCTCAAGCCTCTCTCCCTGGAACCTGAGCTTTTAAGTGCTGTACAAAAGGGTGCCCATCTCCAATTGTGGGTGAGGTCTCTAGGAGTCAATCAAAGTTTGGGAACAAGATGGGGTGCTGAGGGCCTCCAAATTTCTACAGGACAGGGACCTGGGGGTAGGCAGGCTGGAGCCATTAGCAGTAACAAGGCAGGCAGCGCTGACAGCTTAATTTAATTTGTGACCCCGGAGATGCTCACTCCGACACTACATGGCATGTTGTTTGCTTTGCTTCCAGGAACTTGGGTCAAGGGCATTGAAGGGGGTGATGTGCCAGTGGCCAGAGGGGTGAGGGTGGGGTACAGACCTAGACATTGGATGTTTTGGTGGGGAAAGGGAAGGGGAGAAGCCTACCTAGCCAAAACCAGACCCTCCTGCTTTCATCCCTGGCCCTGCCTCCCCTCTGCTTTCTCCCGCCAGACTCTCTAAGACCCCCACCTCTTCTGCCCCCAAACCCCTTTCTGCCTAGGGTTCCTGGAAGCCAAGGAAGCAGAACGGACTGTTCTCTGGGTAGGCAAATAGCTTCAAAGTAAAAAGCTTTCAGGCCGCCTGTCTCATTAGTGCTAATGGCTGCTCCCTTCCTCCCTGTGTTATCAGAGTTCTGCCCACGCCTGGTCTCATCAGCACAATGCTGGGGTGAATCAGACTGCCCTTTCGCGGAGATGCTAAGACACACAGGACCCCTGCCTTCCCTCACCACTCTGGAGGGCAATTTATCACACATTTGCCCATCAGGAAAAAGGATGCAGGCTGAATCAGCTTCAAGGCCTCAATGTACAAACTGGGCTGGCCCAAGGCAGCAGGAGGAGGATGAAGGGGCTGTTTGTAGCCCAGGTTTACACAAGCTATTGTGAAGAAGTCCTCCCAGCAGCAAGCAGAAACCATAGGTTGTCATTTGGCAGCCTTTGGCCTGGTGTCAGCACCAGCAATTGGTGTTGGGGTGCAGGTTGCATGGGAAGAAGGCATTCTGCAGAGGATGGGCCTGTGACAACTTCTTCTGCAGATGGGCACTGATGTCTGTTCTGGGATCAGGCTGGCATTGGATTTTATTTGTGGTTGGCTCAGGGTAACAGTCCTAGGAGGTCAGAGGGTCACATACTATTGCTGGGGGAGGAGGCAGGGTAATCTGGGAAAGCCTCTCTGAGGATGTGGTCCCTGAATAATCGGCAAAGGGCTAGTCCCCATTTCTCCCCTAAGAATGTTACTGGCTGTCTTTGTGACTCTTTCAGAAAGCTAACCTGTTGTCAAGGCCTCCCCGACAGCTGACATTGACTTTTCTCTTCCAGAGGCTATAGCTGGGCCTAGTGGCCCATCCCAGGACTTCCTCTTCTCAGAGTGGTGCAAGGTGAAGGTATTAGGCACCCAGGTGTGCTCCCGTCCTGGTGGGGCCACTGGGAGCTAGAAAGGGCAGTACAGCAAATATACCTGAGACATGTTTCCCAAATCCTTGTGCCCTGGCCCCATCCTTAGAGATTCTGGCTGAAGAAATGGTGGTGGCAAGCAGGGACTGCATGTGGATTTTGGAAAGGGCAAATTGAGGTGGGGGCTCTGGGCACTGGCTGGGCCTGGTTAGCACCCATGCTGAGGGCAGCTCTTCATACTCTGGACCAAGGCTCCCTCCCACCCAGGCACTCAGTGGCTTTGCTCACCTACAGAGCAGTGGCTGTCTTTACCTAGGTATGCGCACACAAGTGTATCAGCCCATGAACAGTGATGGACAAAGGCTGAGGCACTCATGGGCAGCCCAGGTCCCTGCTCAGATCCAATAGGGGAGACAATCAAGAAAACCAACCATCAGAACACAGTGAGATAATCAGAGAAATATAAACATTGAATATTTGATAATACTAAGGAATAATTGTTAATATTTTAGTGGTGATAATGGTATAATGGTTATGCTTTTCTTCTAAATAAAGGACTCGTCTTTTAGAGAAATATAAGTAAATACTGATAAAATGATAGCATTCTGGAATTCACTACAAAATAATCCAGGTCGGGGGGGATAGTGGTAGGTAATACAGATGAAACAAAATTGTGCATGAGTTGGTAATTGTTACAACTGGATGATGGGTACATGGACTTCATTATCTTAGTACTGCTACTTTTGTTTATGTTAGAAATTTTCCATAATGAAAATTAAAAACAAAATAAATTTTTTAAAAATGCAGTGAGAAAGTTTTTTGATAAAAGAATGTCGCAGGGGCATGTGGCACCAGGATAGACACCTACCCCAGGTGAGGGAAAGGGCAGGAAGTTTGCTAGGGAAGGCTTCCTGGGGGAGGAAACTTTTACTCAGTCATGAAGCTTGAGTAGGAGTTGGAAGGATGCCAGGCAAGCGACAGTGTACATTTCCTGGACCCATAACTGCCACACGGTCTATCAAGCTGCCTAATTACACAACTTAACACCAACACAGGCTCTGCCCCAAGCCTGGCTCCTGCTCAAAGGGCCCCAGCCTGATAAACAGTCAGTAGACTCTTTTCTCTCACCTGGGATCAGGGAGTCAGATACTCCCAAAGTTAATTCAGTCCATGAGTCGGTCAGCAAACATCTCTAGCCACCTTCATGTTGTCCAGCTGCTCTGAATGTGCACAGGCTCAGATCATAGCAGCACTCATGCAACCCATAAACCGAAGTAGAGGCCAAAGAAGGAAATCAACATTTGTTTATGCCTTTTCCCACCCCACCCTTCTTATGCCCTCCAGCAGGTGTCACCCACCTCCTGCCACCACTGAATTGGCCCAAAACATGGACTATGGGTTTCTCATCATAGCTCTATCTATATATCTATATCTATATCTGTAAGTGAATTTTCCATTGGCTTATCAAATTAGTTTTTACAAATAACTAATCTTTGGCTTGATTTATCAGTTTTGTTACAGTTAAGTTTCTTTCACTTTCTAATTTCCTTGGGTTTGTCAATCCTTAACATTTATCTTTCCTTCCAATGAACATAGTTGCCTACCTCCAGAATTCTATAAAAGTCCCCTCCTTGGGACCCTATTTCATCTGCTAATGAGTACAAACATTGTATGGTGATTTTACTGGTCAAGAACTGACCTGATGTTCCCAGGACAATGCTTGTTAGCAAAAGGACCTTCAGAAATGTGTGGCATGATCTGGGTGGAGGATTTGGGAGACCTGGGGGGATGCAGAGCCTAATTCATGAGGCTGGGGACCCCGAACATTAGGGACCCTGGCTTCAGGGGAGAAAGGGGAGAGTGTGAATGCTCTGTGCCAGAGACCAAGTATGAAGACCAGGAAGAGTGCTTGAAACTCTCCTTCTGCTGCTCTTTTTCCTCCTACAAAGTAGTACTTACCCCAAGGGCACTGTTCCTGATTTATCAAACAGGGGGTGGGTGTGGCATCAGAGCCATAAGCACCCACTGGCTCTCCCAGTCCAGCTTCATTCTGAAACCCAGGACTCCACCCAGTACACTGCCCCTGCTGCTCGTCTGTGGGAATTCTAAAAGGCAGAGTACCCTAAGTAATCAGGGAAGGGAAGCAGGATAGATGGGGGTTATTTCTGGCTGGTGTTGTGAGCCCTCAGCCATAGGGGAAATGATTCTCAACCTAGAAATTGTCCTTTCTGCTAGAGTCCCAGGAGCTCTCCAACATGCTCACCTCTGTCACTCAAGTTTTGTGCAGGTAAGAACAGAGGCACTCTGCAGGAACTCTGGACATAGGCAAAGAGATGCTGCCTAGGGCCCTGGGCACAGGGGTGAGTCTGTGTCTGTCTTTTGACAAGTTCAAGGTGAGCTCAGAATTAGCTGGAGAGAGTAGAGAGAGCTGCTGTGGCTCCCAGGGTTCTCTGGACTCTCTTCCTTCTGCTTTTACCACTTCTCATTCTCTATGCCTCCAGCTGCAGGCCTAGGAGGTAGAGGTATGGGAGCTGGGAGGGGGTTGAGTCCCATGGGGGAGCAATCATCTGGGGACATTTGATGGGAAGGATAACCTTCCAACTTAAACCAGTCCCCCTGGGACATGGCTATCACCCAGGCACCAAGCCCCAGCCCAGTGTGGAAGGAGGAGCTCACAGCATGCACCCTCCACCACCACCACTAGCAGCCCCACTGGCCATTTCCCAGCTTTGCCCCTGTAGGTCCTGCATGAACTGTCCACCAAGCCCTGGGTAGGGGTCCTCCTCCCAACTCTGGCCAAAGCCAGACTTTGTGTCAGGGTCTGGCATACAGGCAAGTTTTCCTACTTGCCTCATCCCAGTACCTGCTACATGTTTATCCAGTGCTCCACAGCAAGACCCCCATCCCACTTAACTCTCAGCAGAACATTGAACTAAACGTTATCATCCCCATTTTAAAGATCAGGAAATCGAGGCTTAGAGATTAGAGGTTAAGTGATTTAACTCTGATCACTCAGCTAGGAAGGGGCTAGCTTGCTTTCCTTTCTTCCTCCTATGACCCGGGGCATGTTTTAGAGCTGGAGAAGGTTGTGGGGGGGGGGTGCATACACAAGCTTGTATAAGCTGACGCCAATGGCGCCAATGGTGGACAGGGTCATCACCTACCCATAGAGCTCCCAGGGGGCTGCATATAAATAAGCAAGCGGCTGCTCCATCCACCCTCAGCTCAGCCCCATGAGGCTGTGGGCTGAGTTGGCTGCCAGAACTGTGCTAAGTGTCCTTATGCTCTCAGACACATTTCTAAATAATCCATGAATCAAGAAATCACAAGGGAAACCAGAAAATGTTTCAA